AAAAAGACAACCCAATTAAAAAATGGGCACAGGACATGAACAGACACTTCACCAAGGAGGAGATCTGGGCAGCCAACAAACATATGAAGAAATGTCCATGATCACTAGCCATCAGAGAGATGCAAATCAAAATAACAATGAGATATCATCTCACACCAGCAATAACAGCAAAAAGAAAAGAAAGAAAAAAAGTAGAGGACAATAAATGCTGGCAAGGATGTGGAGAGACTGGGACCCCTCTACATTGTTGGTGGAATTACAAAATGGTCCAACCACTCTGGAAAGCAATATGGCAGTTCCCAGAAGGTTGGAAATAGAAATACCTTATGACCCAGCAATTCATCTACTTGGTATTTACCCACAAGAAATATGAGCCATAACATGAGTAAATGTATGAACACCAATGTTCATAGCAGCACTATTTACAATAGCAAAAAGATGGAGACAGCCTAAATGCCCATAAATTGAAGAATGGATAATCAAACTGTGGTACGTACACACAATGGAATACTATGCTTCCTTGAAGAACAACATAGTCAGTAACAAAAGGAGAAATACTGCATAGGACCATTATTGTAAAAGACTAAGAAAAAGTACCCACCCTAAAAGGGAAAAACAAACAAACAACAACAAAAATATATATATAAATAATTGCTGATCACTGGGATGTATGGGATGAAAGGAGGGGAGGGAGGGAGGGGAAGATAAAGCACAGGGTAGGGAATAGACACAGAAGAGCTTGGGGGCTGGGGTGGGAGAGGGCAATACACAGGAAGGGGTCGGGGAATGGAAAAACAAGGCAGATGGGAGAACAATTATGCAGGTTCTCATACGCTAAGTGGGACAGAGGTAAATGATATATGCACAACCTTGGAACAACAGGACTTTGGGATACAGGGATTGAGGTATGGTTTGAATGGGTAAAAGAGGGGAATCATGTTAAGATGCTCAGCTGTCATTTGAATTTTGGTTTCCCTTGCCTACCATTGTGAAGTAGACACTTGGTTGGGTGTGTAAGGAATAGTCAGTAACAGTACCATAGAAAGTAAGTCTGTCTTCAGCCTATGACTGATGGAATACCTTAAAGGGGACTAGAAGTTGCCCAGTGAAAGAGGCCTCCTGTGGAGCTTTTGCATTGCATAAGACCATAGGTGAAAACCAGAATCCCATCCAGAATTGTCTGAGGTGGGAAATTCCCACTGGAAAGGGCTAGTAGACCAGCCTGGAGCAGCTAGAAGAACAGAAGATACTTCGTGAAGAAAGACCAGCAGAAAAAAATCAGAAATAATAACAGCAATCCGATTGAATATTACAAGAACAAGTAACCTGGTAGAGATGGGGCTTGATGATCCCTTAATTCAGGTGGTATATATGTTTGATAAGGTGGGGGGGTCAGAGAAAAATAGGAAGACCCCCAACAAGATGGATTGGCCAAGTGGCAGCATCAATGGTCAAGCATGGCAGCAGTAGTGAGGTTGGCCTAGGAATGGGCAGTGTTTCATTTTGCTGTACATAAGATTGCTATGGGTCGGTACCGACTCAATGGCACCTAACAACAGCAACATATTCAAGGTCATATTTTGGTTCTTGTGGACTTGTTTTCATTTTCGTCAGCTTCAGCTTGAATTTGCATATGAGTAATTGATGGTCTGTTTCAAACTATGCCCCTGGCCTTGTTTTCACTGATGATATGGAGCTTTTCCATCATCTCTTTCCACAGATGTAGTCAATTTGATTTCTTTGTATTCCTTCTGGTGAGGTCCATTTGTATAGTCATCTCTTATGCTGTCTAAAAAAGGTATTTGAAATGAACAAATCATTGGTTTTGCAGAATTCTGTCATGCATTCTCCAGCATCAGTTCTATCACCAATGCCATATTTTCCAACTACTGATCCTTCCTCTTTGCTCTCAACCTTTGCATTACAATCACCAGTAATGATCCGTCTTGATTGCATGTTTGATCAATTTCAGATTGAAAAAGTTGGTATAATTCTTCTATTTCATCCTGGCTTTAGTGGTTGGTGCGTAAATTTGAATAAAAGTAGTATTAACTATTCTTCCCTGTAGAAGCATGGATATTATCCTATCACAGACAGCCTTGTACCTCATGACTGAGCTGGATATGTTATTATTGATGATGAATGCAACACCATTTCTCTTCAATTTGTCATTCCCGGCATAGTAAACCATGCGGTTGTCAGATTCAAAATGGCCAATACCAGTCCATTTCAGCTCACTAATGCCTAAGATATCAATGTTTATGTGTTCCATTTCATTTTTCACAGCTTCCAATTTCCCCAGATTCATCCTTTATACATTCCATGTTCCGATTTTCAATGGATGTTTACAGCTGTTTCTCTTCATTTTGAGTTGTGCCCCATCTGCAAATGAAAGTCCTGCAGGCTTTTCTCCCACAGGCTTTACTCCATTTGCTTTATCATAGTCAGCTCTACTTTGAGGAGGCAGCTCTTCCCCAGTCACATTTTGAGTGCCTTCCAACCTGAGGGACTCATTTTCTGGCACTATATCTGACAGTGTTTCTCTGCTATTCATAAGGTTTTCAGTGACTAAATATTCAAAGTAGTTTGTCACTCTTTCTTCCTAGTCTGTCTTTGTCTGGAAGCTCCTCTGAAACCTGTCAACCATGGGTGACCCTGCTGGTAATTAAAATACTGTTGGCATAGCTTTCAGAATCACAGCAACTCACAAGCCACCACAATATGACAAACTGACAGACGAGTGGTGGACATTGGCTACCCAAAAAGGGGGGTGGGGATGCTAACAAGGCAAGAAGTGACTGGTTTACAAGCTTTCAAGAGGGAGCCTAGTTCCAGATGGGGCAGGGGTAAGTAGAACCTCCAGTGAATGATTTCCAATCTGTTGCGACCGGGCTGGTGAAAGGAAACAGGGATCAGACTCTTGTGGTACAATAGTGAATAATTGCCATCAGGACTGACTGTGAGGGTTGGAAATGTAGAGGTAGATGTTTTTTGACAAAAGGAGGGGAGTGGTTGATTTTGCAGCCTAGGAGCGAAGGTCCCTGGGACCATCAATTGAGAAAAGCAGAGAGCAGGACCCTACCCAGAGAGGCAATGACACCAGGGATGAAGACAGAGACAATGAAGTGGACACATGGAGTGGCTGGGGCACTGGACTCAGGAAGGGAGAGGGGCCATGTGCTGATGGCCAAGGAGGGCAGGCCTGTGGGATGTACCCTTTGGTTGTTTGATGATGCATAGAGGGATTGTAATCATTGCAATTAAACGAAATATGATAGGATAAATGTAAAACTAATGTTCTCCCATGTAAACCCACAAAATTAACAACAACAACAACAAAAAGTACTTATTGGGTATCTATTAAATGTTGGGTACTGTTCTCGGTTCATCAGCTTCATTAGTGTTCAAAACAGACATAAGTCTCTCCCCTCCTGGAGCTTTGGTTCCAGCGATATCTAGATTTTGATCCACATGACCTCTCTCTCGATAGAAGGGGTGAGGTAGTTGAGGATGCTCATCAAAATAATTATTTGCTTATTGCATTATTGGTGGGACAAGAGCTTCTCATAGATTATTGCATCATTGCCTGCAGATTTTGTCACAAAATACCAATTGAAGATACAAGTGGGGATTTTGTTAATAAAAGCCCAGTGGTTATTATTTGCTCATGCCAGTGTCACTGATAGAATTTCCTGGTTTCTAGGTATAAAGGACATTGTTCCATGTCTTTCCTGTGAAGGATGTTTGGACAAGTCAAAGGAAAGCGATGACTCATTAGAAGATCATACCAAAAATTTTCCCAAGTGAGTTTCGGAATGAATGTTTACTATCTATAAATTTGGATACACTTTACAAATGTTTTCTCATGTCTCTCATATTTCAACTTCTAGTAAGTCTTTGCCTATTCTTCTGTTTCCTACTATGAAGGATGAGTGTTGTCTCTTTCAACCCAACCCCTTGATCCCATAATGCCCTTCCCATAGACCCTATTTCTCTCTATAGTTATGGTTTGGTCAATATTCAGTGTTTATATCATCAAGACTATATAAATACTATGCATAACAGAACCTTGTAGCAAATTATAATATTTTCCTTCCCTACACAACTTTTTATTTTCCTAAGATGTAATGATTGTCTTGCTCATTAGTAGATTTGTATAGTTTGTTTTCTAGTTAAGTTGAAATCCATATAACATAAAATTAGCTATTTTCAAATATATAATTCAGTGGCATTTAGTATAGTGACAATGTTTGTACAACCACCTCCCCTGTTTAATTCCACAACGTTTTCATAATCTCAAAAGAAAACCCTGTACCCATTAAGCAGTCATTCCCTATTCGCTTTCTGTTTCTATGGATTTACCCATTCTGTGTATGTGGCGCTGTGAGTTAATGCGCCAGACTGCAAAAGCCGTTTGAACTGCAAGGTCAGCAGTTCAAGCTCATCAGCTTCTCCTCGGAAACCCTATACAGGGTTGCTATGGGTCAGAACCGACTCAACGGCACTTCACAACAACAACAACATATTTCATATACATAGAATATATGATCTTTTGTCTCTGCTTCTTTCAGGATACTTTTAGTGTGATATTTTCCAGATTCATCTATATTGTAAGATGTATCAGCACTTCATTCCTTTCTATGTATGTACCACAATTATTTACTGTGCATCTGATGATGGACATTGGATTGTTTTCACCTTCTGGTGATTGTGAATAATGCTGTTATGAACATTCACATACAAGTATTTGCTTGAATGCCTGTTTTCACTTCTTTTGAGTATATACCAATGAGTGGAATTGTTGGGAGTTCTTGTGAGGCACCACAGGATGAGCACTGGACAGTTCAAACTTATCAGCTGTTCCTCAGAAACCCTATATAAGGTCACTATGAGTCAGAACCGACTCAGCATCAACATAGCAACAAGAGCAGCAATGGTAACTCTATGTTGTAACTTCCCACCAAAATTATATGAAGGTTCCAATTTCTCTACATCCTGCCCACATTTGTATGAGGGTGCTTCAAAAATTTTGTGGAAAAATTCCATTATCTTTAATTCCATTTTTTTCATGTACTTTTTTTTTTTTTTGAGTACCCTAGTATGTTTCTTTTTAAATTTTTATTATAACCATCTGCTTAATTTTTAAATGTACTTAGCAACAAATCATCTTCAGTATTTTCCATGTATTCAAATCTCCTCTCCATTCATTCAGACTTAGCAGGTCTCCCATAATTTTCATCTTAGTGACATCTTTTGAAGACTTCTGAACTGCTCCATGATGAACTATTTATAGTCATCCTGGGATCCTGTGTTCGCTTTTCAAGGTCATCCCAGGAATTTCCTATTGCCTCTCTCCTATGATAAAGTTTTTGGATCTAATACTATCCCCTTTCTGGTTTACTCCCTCATTTTAATGGACCACTTTTCCACTGTCCTCAGGAAAGATTACATAGGAGAATCAATTTTTTACTTTGCACATATGTATAACTTTTTCCCCCTTTTCTCACATTTGCTTAGTAGTTCAGTTGGGCACAGAATTCTATGTTGGAAATCAATTTAATTCCAAATTATAGAGGCATTGCTACATTTTCTAATAGCTTCTAATGTTATTATTGAGACATTTCACATCTTTCTGACTAAGCAGTATGGTTGCAAACTACTCTTTTTCCTCTTGAAGCATTTAGAACTTTCTATTTATTTCCAGTGTTTAACATTTCATGAAGAAATACCTGTGTGAGCCTTTAAACTATTCATTTTTCATCTTGCAAACTCTTCAGAAATAGTCAATTGCAAGAAGAAATTTGTTGTTTTCACTTGTAATTAATAAGAGACATTTTGTTTTTTGGTTTTTTAGCAAGAAATAATAAATGCAAGGTTTATTTTTTGTTGTTATAAAATTTGCATGCAGGTTTTTAAATGAACGTCATCTAATCGTAAGACTATAAAGAGGATGTAAGAAGCCCTGGTTGCACTGCACAACAGTTAAGCACTGGGCTGCTAACCAAAAGATTGATAGTTTGGACCTATCCAGCCACCCCACAGGAGAAAGATGTAGTGACCTGTGTCTGTAAACATGACAGACTAGAAAACCCTAGGGCAGTTCTACTCTGTTACACGAGGTTGCTATGAGTCAAAATGGACCTGATAGCACCTAACATTAACAAAGAGGATGTTGCTTTGAAGGAGTGTCCGGTGAGCTTTAATCACCTACCTTGAAGTTCAAACCAACCTTGCAATCCAGCACATTAACCCGCAGCACAACACCAGGACTGTATATAGTATGTGATAAATTGATGAGACGAGTAGAGGCATGTTCTTTCATTCCAAAAGAATTAGCTATGATGTAGTTTAGTTTTATTCAGCACTTTCCATTGAATCTATCAACTCCCTTTTTGTATAGCTTTTTACTCTTTTCTGCCTCTTTTTAAAATTGCAAATTAAGATGCCTACAAAGAAGTACCTAAGACATTTGTGTATGGCATAAAGGGCATCGATAAAAAGAAACATCTGAATCTGCCCCTAAAGTTAAGATATGTGCCATTATGAGTGCGCTAGCAGGCCCTGTTTCTCTGCTATTCATAAGGTTTTCAGTGACTAAATGTTCGGAAGTAGTTCGTCACTCCTTCCTAGTCTGTCTTCGTCTGGAAGCTCATCTGAAACCTGTCCAACATGGGTGACCCTGCTGGTATTTAAATATCTATCTGGTGCTTAGCGTCCAGAATCATAGCAACTCACAAGCCACCACAATATAACAAATAATCTCATATGCATGTGAAAGCTGGACAGTGAATAAGGAAGACCATAGAAAAATTGATGCTTTTTTTTTTTTTTAATGTTTTATTGTGAATTATGTGATAGTTTGCATGGGATAACATTAGCTTTACATTCATCCTATCATATATAATTTCATTTCCATGGTTACAATCCCCTCCATGCATCATCAACCAACCAAAGTGTATACCCTGCAAGCCTGCCCCCACCCCCACCCCAGTCATCAGCACACAGCCCCTCTCCCTCTCTGGGTCTAAAGTCCCCAGCCACTCCATCTCTCCACATCATCGTCTCTGCCTCCATCTCTGGTATCACTGCTTCCCTGGGTAGGGTCCCCCTCTCTGCTCTTCTTCCTTGATGGTCCCAGGGACCTCTGCTCCTAGACTGAAAAGTTAATCACTCCCCTCCTTGCTATAAAACATTTACCTTTACATTTCCAACACTCACAATCAGTCCTGATAACAATTATTCACTATTATATCACAAGAGACCTATCTGCATCTCCTTTTATCAGCCCTGCCCAGACAGATTGGATACTACTCAGTGGAGATTCTACTTTCCTCCATGCCCTCTGGATCTAGGTTCCCTCTTGAAAGCTTGTAAGCCAGTCATTTCTTGCCTTTGTTGCCCCCCCATTTTGAGTAGCCAATGTTTAAGTTGCCCATCCCTGTCTACTCTGTGTATGGAGGGGGTAGGAATGATCCTCACTGTAAAGATTTGTTCCTTCTTTTGAGCTACTGCATTCATAGGTGTAGGTCAAGTTCATCAAATTATATCAGATTATTCTTTTTTTCATCTTCTTTCTTCTTCTAGTTGAGTTCTGATCATCTAGTCATTAAAGCCATGTCAAGTGGTTATTATCTGCAAGTGTGGTTGTTTTTATATATGTGCCCTCTCAAGAATTGATGCTTTTGAGTTATGGTGTTGGAGGAGAATATTGAATGTGCCATGGGCTGCCAAAAGAACCAACAGATCTGTGTTGTAAGAAGTACAGCCAGAGTGCTCCTTGGAGGCCAGGATGGCCAAACTTTGTCTTTCATACTTCGGACCTATTGTCAGGAGGGACCAGTCGCTGGAGAAGGATATCATGTTTGGTAGGGTGGAAGGTCAGAGAATAAGAGGAAGACCCCCAGTGAGATGGATTGGCAAAGTGGCAGCATCAATGGGCTCAAATGCAGCAACAATAATAAGGTTGGCCCAGGATCGGGCAGTGTTTCGTTCTGCTGTGCATAAGGTTGCTATGAGTTGGTACCAACTCGATAGCACCTAACAACAACAACAAGCAGGCCCTGTGTGCCCTTCCCACTCTAATTCTGATTATATCTTTGCCTCTCCAAATCAGAGATAAACATGATCCAGAAGTTTGAATTATTCATTTGTTTTCTCTTATGGGTTTACCAACTATGTATGTATCCTTAAATATATTTAATTTTGCCAGAACGATGTTTACCTGTGCTTTATTGAATACCCAAAGGCTTTCGATTGTGTGGATCATGACAAGCTATGGACAACATTGTGGAGAATGAGTATTGCAGAACAGTTAATCATGCTCATGAGGAACCTGTACATAGACCAAGAGACAGTTGTTCAAACAGAACAAGGGGACACTGAATGGTTTAAAATCAGGAAAGATGTACACCAGGGCTGTATTCTTTCACCATACTTATTCAATACATATGCTTAGAAAATAATCTGAGAAACTGGATTATATGAAGAAAACGTGACATCAGGATTGGAGGAAGACTCATTAACAGCCTGAAATATTCAGATGATACAACCTTGCTTGCTGAAAGTGAAGAGTGCTTAATATACTTACTGATGAAGATTGAAGACCACAGCCTTCAGTATGGGTTACATCTCAATGTAAAAAAAAAAAAAAAAAAAATCCTCACAACTGGACCAATAAATAACATTATGACAAATGAAGAACAGATTGAAGTTGTTAAAGACTTCAATTTGTTCAAATCCACCATCAACACACATGGAAGCAACAATCATGAAATCAAACAAAATATTTCATTGGGCAAATATGCTACATAAGACCTCTTTAAAGTGTTCAAGAGCAAAGATGTCAGTTTTAAGACTAAGGTACTCCTGACCCAAGCCATGATATTTTCAGTAGCCTCACATGCATGTGAGAGTTGGACAAAGAATTGATGCATTTGAGTTATGGTGTCGGAGAACAATAGTAAAGGTACCAAGTCTTCCAGAAGAACAAACAAAACTGTGCTGAAAGAAGTAAAACCAGAATGCTCCTTAGAAGCAAAGATGGCTAGACTTGTCCCTCATTCTTCAGTCATTTTGTCAGGAGGGACCAGTCCCTAGAGGAGGATATTGTGGTTGGTAAACAGGAGGGGCAGTGTAAAAGAGGGAGATGAATTGGCACAGTAGTAGCAACAATGGGCTCAAGTGTAACAGCAAACGTGAGGATGGCACAGGACCAGGTGATGTTTTGTTCTGTTGTACACAAGGTTGCTATGAGTCGGAACCAACTCAACAGCACTTAACAACAATAACCATCATAGTTAATAGTCATTATAATTAACTCTACTATGAGGAGGCAGTTCTTCACCAGTCATATTTTGAGTGCCTTCCAACCTGAGGGACTCATCTTCCAGCACTATATCTGACAATATTTTGGTGCAATTCATAATGCTTCAACATACAATTTTCAGGACAGTGTCCATGAGAGCCAAAATATGACCTTAAATATTTCCCACCCAGATTTAGAGATGATCTGAAGAACAAATTGATGCATTAGACACTAAAGACCGAAGACCAGAAGAATTTTGGGATGACATGAAGAACATCATATAGGAAGAAAGCAAAAGGTCATTAAGAAGACAAGAAAGACCAAAATGGATGTCAGAAGAGACTGTGAAACTTGCGCTTCAGTGTAGAGATGCTAAAGTAAATGAAAGAAATGAGGAGGTAAAAGAGCTGAACAGAAAGTTTGAAAGGTCACCTTGAGAAGACAAAGTTTTCCCACTAACGTTCTTTTTATGTTCTAGGACCCATAGAGTGAGTTTAAATCTTTATTTTTGGTTCTTTAGGTTCAATATATTTGGTTTCATGGATGAATGCTTAATACATACTCATTCCGCTCAATTCCCTGGATATCCCCACCATTACTTTATAAACCATGCCCTTGAACTTCTGAGAGCCACAGCTTAAATGTCTTATGTGTTAATGAGACTCACAGAAGTACTGAAAATGTTAGTTTTATTCTTAATTCTTGTTACTAAATCTGTAACGTTTTTAAATATCTAGAGCAACTGCTTAATTGCTTATAATTCTCTTTATAAATTTTATATTTTCTGCATAGTTGTCAATTTCTGCACAATACGAAGTCCTCTGCAGACGTGATTCCCTATCTTCCCAGCGATGATAAACTTTCTGAAATAATGGTAATACACAACATCACTTTGTTATTTTAGCAGAACGTGATTGCATGATTGCAAGTGGGTTTTAAATGAGAGTTACGCATCATAAATCAATAAGTAAATTCTACAGATATCTATTAAACCCCTACCACAGTAACCTAGATGAGATACCTCACTTCAGGGTAATCCCTTCTACTTTGGAGCACAGGCTCTTTACTTTTAGAGCTGATTAGCATCCCAGGTAGATTTTTGGTGTGGCGCTGTAGGATCAGCATTGGACTGGGAACCACAAGGTCAGCAGTTCAAACCCACCAGCTGCTCCTGGGAAACCCTATACAGGGTCTCTGTGAGTTGGAACCGATTTGGTGGCACTCAACAACAACATCATCCCAGGTATCTGGATTCCATCTAAGATCTTCCCTTGAAGGCAGTAAGCCCTAAGTTACTACTTAGTCTTTCTCAGGACTGGGAAAACTTTATTGTATTTCTTTTTTTAGCAAAAGCAAATGGCCAACCAAACCATAAACCCAGATAATAGCTTGGCCCTTTACGTTGAGAAATCGTACACAAGCCACTATCAATTTAATGCCTATACACATACCATCTTATTTTAGGCTGTATGTTAGATACGCTTGTCATCCCACAAAAAGAAGACAGAACAACCTGTTATTCAATTGGATCATCTTTTATATTTGTGAATTGAAAAATGGATTGGAGGGAAAAGTTTGGGGACATATTTCCCCAGTGTATAATATTGAAAAATATAATTAAAAGCTACATTTAGGCTGTGTTTAAAGACCTTTGGAGGATCCTATTTGCTCCAGGTGCCAAGTTTGTGATTTCCTAGAGCGTATCCACTACCTTATGCTCCCATGGAATCCATAGGTGTACTTTACAGGAACACACGGTCATGCACACTTGTAGATTATTTCTCGTTTCATCTTTGCAATATTCCTCCCCTTTAGCAGCATAAATATTTGAGAGTGGGCTATATTTAGAAGACTTTTAGGCCCAGTTCTAACATGATGCCTCAACCTCTTATTTGATTTTTTATTTAATAAAGCAATTATTAACAACAATTAACATTTTCCCCCAACAGGAAACCATAAGTGAAAGCAATCTTGAAGATTCAGTAGCAGTTAGTTCTGCAACACCAGGTAAAAATGGTAAAGTAGCACATGGGATTATATACGTGCCATTTTATCTATATGTAGAGGATTTGAAAACAAAGACCAGTTGTACACTTGGGAAGAGTTGCTAATGGAGGAGCAATATTGAAATGAGGAGAGTTGTACAGGAGAGAAAAGTCATGGTTCTTTTCACATCTCCAGGGCAAATGAAAGACCTCACTGTTAGCAGCCTTGAGAAAATGGTATTTAAAGGGACTACTCAGCAAGGGTTTTTTCTGAGGTTTTTAAATATGAATGGATGCCCCTAGAGTCCTGGTGTGGCCTGCTGTAGGATAAGCACTGGACCACAAGGTCAGTTTGAACCACAAGTTTGGCAGTTCAAACTCACCCAGCTGCTCCTTAGAAACCCTATACAAGGTTGCTATGAGTCGGAACTGACTTGACAGCACTTAACAACAAAAACAAGATGCACCTCATAAGCACATGTTTTTTCTTCATGGAAAGAGGGGTACTTTGGGCACATGTTTTCCATACTCTGATTTTGGTATAGCGCAGTGGGAGGATCCCTATCTGAGAACCATGAACGGTTGTGGAAGATCTAATATATCCGTAGTAAAGGCAGAATCGTATCATGAAAAGTGTACAGAATTTGGATTGAGAGAGATGTAATTATGAATTCCAACTGTGCTTCTCTCTTTTGTCTCCTCAGAAGCAGCACAAGGAGAAACCCAGTGGTTTCAGGAGGCAAAGAGTCTGCATGAGAGACTAAGAGCAGTTTACACCAGTGCCAGTTTCCGCCATATGCCTTTGCTTGAGATCTCTTCCCATCCAACTACCAACCAGTTGCTGTGCTGTGATCTGTCCATTTCTTCAAAGCACATCAGCAACCATTGTCAAGAGCTTGTCGTGTTGCCTGAGGTCTTTGCCAAACTGAACTCCGTCATGTGTGTGGAAGGAGAAGCTGGTAGTGGAAAGACAACCCTCCTAAAGAAAATTGCTCTTCTGTGGGCATCTGGATGTTGTCCCTTGTTAAACAGATTCCGGCTGGTCTTCTATCTCTCCCTTAACTCTGTCAGACTGGACCAGGGGTTGGCCAACATTATCTGTGACCACCTACTACAGACAGAAGGATCTGTTACTGAAATGTGCTTAAGGAACATCATCCAGAAGTTTAAGAATCAGGTGTTATTCCTTTTAGATGACTACAGAGAAATGTGCTCAATCCCCCAAGTCATAGAAAAACTGATTACAAAAAACCACTTATCAAAGACCTGCTTACTGATTGCTGTCCGTACAAACAGGGCCAGGGACATCCGCCGATACCTAGATACGATTTTACAGATCCAAGAATTCCCCTTCTATAACACTATCTATATATTACGGAACCTCTTTTCAGACAATATGACCCGTCTGCAAAACTTCATGATTCATTTTAGAAAGAATGAAAATCTGCAGGGAATTAATAAAACTCCCCTCTTTGTGGCAGCTGTCTGTGCCAACTGGTGCCGGTATCCCTTTGAACAGTCCTTTGATGATGTAGCTGTTTTCAAGTCCTATATGGAATTTTCTTTCTTAAATCACAAAACTGAAGCTGACCGTCTCAAAGCAACTGTGTCCTCCTGTGGTGAGCTGGCCTTGAAAGGGTTTTTTTCATCTTGCTTGGAGTTTAGTGATGATGACCTCATGGAATCAGGGGTTGATGAAGATGAAGATCTAGTCATGTGTTTGATGAGCAAGTTCACTGCCCAGAGACTGAGACCAGTCTATCAGTTTTTAAATTCTGCATTCCAAGAATTTCTTGCTGGGATGAGGTTGATTGAACTCCTGGATTCTGATAGACAGGAAGATCAAGATTTGGGACATCATTATTTGAAACAAATAAACTCATCCATGAAGGCTGTAGGTCCCTATAGCAACTTTTTGAACTATGTCTCTAGTCATCCTTCAACAAAAGGAGGGCCAAACATTGTATCTCATTTGCTTGATTTGGTGGATGATAAACAGTCATTTGAGACTATGTCTGAAAATGATGACTATCTAAAGCATCATCCAGAAATGTCACTGAAGATAGAAACACTTAGGATGCTGTGGCAACTAAATCCACAAGGTTATCTTTCATTGGTTTCCAAACACTTCCTGAATCTTGCCATAAAAATTGCTTATCAAAGCAATTCTGTTGCTGCATGTTCTTCATTTATTTTGCAATTCCTTCAAGGGAGAACATTGACTTTGGATGTCCTTAACTTACAGTACTTTTTTGACCACCCAGAAAGCTTGTTATTGTTGAGGAGCATCCAGGTCTCAATAAGAGGAAAGAAAAGATCACCCAGACCAGATTTTTCAGTCCTAGAAACATGTTTGGACAAATCACAGGTACCAACTATAGATGAGGACTATGCTTCTGCCTTTGAGGCAATGAAAGAATGGGAGCAGAATTTAGCTGAACAAGAGGATGACATAAAGAGTTTTCAGGATATACAACTCAGTGCACCACCAGACATCAGCACTGGCTACTGGAACCTTCCTTCAAAGAAGTTCAAGATCCCTGTTCTGGAGGTACACGTGAATAATATTGATGCTGTGGACCAGGAAACATTCAGGGTTCTGATGGAAATCTTCTCAGCTTCACGGCACATAGAACTCTATTTAAACTACAGCAATGGCTTTATTGAAAGCATCCGCCCAGCTCTTGAGCTGTACAAGACATCTCTCACCAAGTGTTCCATCAGCCAGTCTGAGCTCAGTGTAGCAGAACAGAAGTTGCTGCTCACCCTGCCATGCCTGGAATCTCTGGAAGTCTTAGGGAAAACCAAGTTGGAAGGTATAGCTCAAGATATTTTGGATGACTATTCTGGTGTCTAATTTTATTGTTCTCACAATTAGTTTTAGGTGGAAAGTTACTAGAGATATGAGATCATAAATGCTGGCTGATTTAAAATCAAATGTCATTAACTTTTTTTTCCCTCTCAATATTAGTCAAAAGCCTGAGTAATAGAGTGGTTTTCAAGAAATTCAGGTAAAATAAGTAAAATGTTATCTAATGTAATCCCTTAATGAACATAAATTATTTATTATTGTTAAAGAATGACCTACATCAAAAGAAGATGGAAGGAATACACAGTCATTGTACCTAAAGGAAATGGTCGATGTTTAGCCATTTCAAGATACGATCAGTGGTTCTGAAGGAAGAAGTCCAAGGTGCATTGAAGGTATTAGCAAACAGCAAGTTTCCAGGAGCTGATGGAACACAAACTGAAAAATTTCAACAAACTGATGCAACACTGGATGGCATTCACTCATCTATGGCAAGAAATTTGGAAGACAGCTATGTGACCAACCAATTGGAATAGATCCATATTTGTGCCCATTCCAAAGAGAAGTGATCCAACGGAATGCAGAAATCATAGGACAATACCATTAATATCACATGCAAGTAAAAATTTTCTAAAGATAATACAAAAATGACTGCAACAGTACATTGACCGGGAACTGCCAGAGGTTCAACTGGGATTCAGACAAGGACATGAAATGAGGGATATCATTACTTACATCAGATGCATCTTGACTGAAGCAGAGAACACCTGAAAGATGTTAACCTGTGCTTATTGACTCTGCAAAGGCTTTCAAATGTATGGATCATGACAAACTATGAACAACGCTGCAGAGAATGAGTATTCCAGAACACTTAATTGTGCTCATGAGGAACCTGTACATAGACTAAGTTGCAGTTGTTTAAACAGAACAAGGGAACACTGAATGGTTTAAAATCAGGAAACCCTGGGCCAGATTGTATTCTTTTACCACACATATTCAATCTGTATGTTGAATAAATAATCTGAGAAGCTAGATTATATGAAGAAGAACATGACATCAGGATTGGAGGAAGAATCATTAAAACCTTGCTTGCTGTAAAGGAAGAGGACTTAAAAATATTTACTGATAAAAATCAAAGACCACAGCTTTCAATATGGGTTGCACCTCAATGTAAAAATAAAAAGAGAAAATAAAAATCCTCATCACTGGACAAACAAATAACATCATGATAAATGAAGAAAAGATTGAAGTAGTTAAAGTTCATTTTGCTTGGATCTGCTATCAACACTCATGGAAGCAACAATCAAGAAATCAAACGTGGAAGTCGCTCAGCTGAGACCTCAGCGTTTCCCGTATTCAGAATCCCCCAGCTGCGTGCGAAGTGAAGATGCCACGTGGAAATCGGAGCCGCACTTCCCGGGTGGCCCCTCCGGCCAGCCCGGCACCTCAGATGAGAGCTGCCCCCAGGCCAGCCCCAGCTGCTCACCCACCAGCAGCGACCCCACTTCAGCAGTGGGCTCACCCGCTGCTGCCCCCAGGCAGCCAGGTCTGATGGCCCAGATGGCAACCACAGAGGCTAGTGTGGCCATAGGCTCTGCTGTCGGGCACACGCGGGGCCACGCCATCACCGGAGGCTTCAGTGGAGGAAGTCAAGCTGAGCCCGCAGCAAGGCCTGACATCACTTACCAGGAACCTCAGGGCAAGCAGCCAGCATACCAGCAGCAGCAGCAGCAGTTTGACCCTTGCTACTATGAGATGAAACAATTTTTGGAGTGTGCCCAGAACCAGGGTGACTTCAAGCTCTGTGAGGGGTTCAGTGAGGTGCTGAAGCAATGCCGATATGCAAATGGATTAGCATAATCAAGAAGTTCAAATTGAAGAAATGGAAAATCATCTTTCCTGACCAACTTAATTTAGCATACAACTACAATTGTTAGTGTAACGTGTGCGGCACCAGTTAACCCTCTCCTCCCTCATCAACACCCCCCTTGCTTCACAATCACCATGGAGGAGAGCTTGGAGGTGAAGTTAAGTTTGGGGTGGAACAGAAGTTTGTGAGGCTTCCTTAAACTAGCTGTTGTGATGTAATTGTTTGAATTAATTAGAATAAAGTTATTTTCTTCCAAAAAAAAAAAAAAAAAAGAAAAGAAATCAAATGTATTGCATTAGGTAAATCTGCTGCACAAGATCCCTTTATAAAGTGTTCAAGATGTCGTGGTATTTTCAATAGATTCATGTGCATGTGAAAGTTGGACAATGAATAAAGAAGACTGTAGAAGAATTGACACATTTGAGTTATGGTGTTGGAGAAGAATATTAAAAGTACCATGGGCACAAAATTTCAGTTTGTATTCCGTCAATTCCCAGAACCTTGTTCTTTGCCTTCAGTGTAGCTAGGACTTCTTCCTTCAGTACCATTGGCTGTTGATCATATGCAAATTTGAAAATCACCCAATTTCTTTTTGGTTACAGTGATTCTATGTATTCTTTCCATCTTCTTTTGAAATGTGTAAACAGAAGCATTTATGCAAACAAAATTTGGACTAATACTTGAAGGAAGGTAAATTTTTCTTTTATTCATAACTGGATAAAACCTTTAATGGTAAAAGAAAGAAAGAAAGAAAGAAAAAACATCACTACAAGCCTGAGAGTAAAAGGCAAAATATGTAATAGAAATATTCTCAATCCAAGAGAAAGTTCAAAAGTCAACAATCAGATGGAAAATTGATGCTTACAGTTTCCTGGGATTCTCAAGGGCCAGTAATGGAACACTATCAGGAAAAAGGCTCAACAATCAGCAGTGCTCATTCCAGTGAGATGCTCACTAAAAAGCTGAAGCTTAGAGTTCTGCTGTAGCACTGTGGGTCAATGCACCAGACACAAAGCCGTTTGCATTGCAAGGTTGTCAGTTCAAGTTCACCAGCTGCTCCTTGGAAACCCTATACAGGGTTGCTATGGGTTGGAACCAACTCCATGGCACTTAACAACAACAACAAGTTTTGAATTAAATGCTGAAGACTGCTATCCAAGGGCATTGTGATCTTGCATGATAATACAACTCCACACACCTCTGCCCAAACTTTTTTAACTTCAAAACCTTTCTTTTCAGATGTTAAAGCATCCTTCCTATAGTCCTGATCTTACTCCATCTGACTTTCACCTGTTTGTTCCACTGAAAGCAGCCCTTAGAGGAAGAAGATTCACCTCTGGTGAAGAAGTGAAGACAGCAGTTCATTCTTGGCTTGCAACTCAACCTAAAATATTTTTTAATAAAAGAATACGAAAGCTTGCTGACAGATGGACAAAGTATTTTGAAAAGCAAGGAGATTATGTTGGAAAATGATGTATTTGTCCTTTCTAAAAGTTGATTGAAATAAAATTCTTTAGCCAGAAAAGAAAACAAGTATGAACTGCTAAAAGAAAAATAAATTTGTGTTGAAGTACAACCAGAATGCTCCTTAGAAGCCAAGATAGCAAGACATCATCTTTCATACTTTGGACATACTATCACACTAGGTAAAGTGGAGGGTCGCTTTACCAAGCATGAGTCCTTCTCCAGAAACTGGTCCTTCCTGATAACATGTCTGAAGTATGAGAGATGAAGTCTCCCCAATCTTGCCTCCAAGGAGCATACTGGCTGTACTTTTTCCAACACAGATTTGTTTCTTCTTCTGACAATCCATGATACTTTTAATATACTTCTCCGACACCATAACTCAAATGCATCAAATATTCTATTGCCTTCCTTATTCGTTGTTCAACTTTCACATGAATGTAAGACTAGTGAAAATACTGTGGATTAGGTCAAGAGTGCCTTAGTCAACAAATGGAAATCTTTGCTCTTCAAAATTTTAAAGAGGTCTTATGCAGCACATTTGCCTAGTGCAATACACCGTTTTTATTTCTTTACTGCTGCTTCCATGAGTGTTGACGGTGGATCCAAGCAAAATGAACTTGACAACTTCAGTCTTTTCTTCATTTATCACGATATTATTTATTGATCTATTGATGAGTATTTTTGTTTTCTTTACATTAAGGGGAAATCCATATTGAAGGCTGTGGTCTTTGATTTTCATCAGTATTTTAAGTCCTCTTCAGCAAGCAAGGTTGTATCATCTGCATATCTCAGGTTGTTAATGAGTCTTCCTCCAATCCTGATGTCACACTCTTCTTCGTATAATCCAGTTTCTGAGATTATGTGCTCAGCATACAGCTTGAACAAATATGGTTAAAGAATGCATCCTGGTGCATACCTTTCCTGGTTTTAAACCATCCGGTGTCCCTTTGTTCTGTTCGAAAGAGTGCCTTTTGGTCTATGTACAGGTTCCTCATGAGCACAATTAAGTGTCCTGGAATGCTTATTCTAAATGTTGTCCGTAGCTTGTCATGATTCACACAGTTGAATACCTTTACATAGTCAATAAAGCACAGGTAAATATCTTTCTGGTATTCTCTGCTTTCAGTAAAGATCCATCTGACATCAACAATGATATCTCTACTTCCACATCCTCTTATGAATCTAGCTTGAATTTCTGGCAGTTCCCTTTTGATGCGCAGTTGCAGCCATTTTTAAATTATCTTCAACAAAATTTTACTGGCATGTAGCATTAATGATATTTTTCAATGATTTCCACAATCCACTGGGTCACCTCTCTTTGGAATGGGCACAAATATGGATCTCTTCTACTCTGTTGACCAGGTAACTATCTTCCAAATTCTTTATTATAGATGATTGAGCACCTCCAATGTTGCATCATTTTGTTGAAGATTTCAGTTTTTATTCCGTCAATTCCTGGAGGCTTGTGTTTTTGGCAATGTCTTCAGTGCATCTTAGACTTCTCCTTTTGGTACCATTGGCTCTTAGTCATATGCTACCTCTTGAAATGGTTGAACATTACCCTACCTTTTGGGTACAGTAACTCGTATATACTTTCCATATTCTTTACATCGTTTCTACATCATTCAATATTTTGTCCACAGAATCTTGCACTATTGCAAGTTGAAGCTTGAGGGTTTTTTTCAGTTCTGTCAGCTTGAGAAATGCTAAGTGTGTTCTTAACTTTTGCTTTTCTAACTCCAGGTCTTTGCACAGTTCATTATAATACTTGACTTTGTCTTCTCAAGCTACCCATTGATGTTTTCCATTTAGTTCTTTTACCTCTTCATTTCTTCCATTCATGTCAGCATCTCTACACTGGAGAGCAAGTTTCAGAGTCTCTTCTGACATCAATTTTGGTCTTTTCCTTCTTTCATGTCTTCATAATAACCTTTTACTTTCTTCCTGTGTGATGTTCTTGATGTCATCCCACAAGTCTTCTGGTCTTAGTCACTAGCGTCTAATGCAACAAATCTGTTCTTGAGGGGACCTCTAAATTCAGGTGAGATATGTTCAAGGTCATATTTTTACTTTCCTGGGCATCTACTAATTTCATCAGGTTCAGTCTGAACTTGCATAAGAACAATTGATGGTCTGTTCTACAGCCTTCCACTTGCTTTTTTTGCCTGATGATATTGAGCTTTTCCACCATTTTATTCCCACAAATGTAGTCAGTTTGTTTCCTGTGTATTCTATCTAGGGAGATTCATATGTATAAGTACCCTTAATGTCATTTAAAAAAGGTATTTGCAATGAGTAAGCCTTGTGAAGTTCTATCATGAGATCTCCATTTATTTCTATACTAAGGCCATAATCCAGCAATTTATCCTTCCTTTTTATTTCCAACCTTCACATAGACCAGTAGTTATCAGTACATCTTGATTGAATGTTTGATACATTTCAGACTTGAAGAAGTTGGTAGAATTCTCCAATTACATCATCACTGACTTCTGTGATTAATGCTGTTGTTGTTAGGTGCCAACAGCTCAGCACTGAACTCATAGTGACCCTGGGCACAACAGAATAAAACACTGCCCGATTCCATGCCAACCTCACAGTTCTTGCTATACCTGAGCCCATTGCTGCTGCAACTGTGCCAATTCATCTTGTTAGGGGTCTTCCTCTTCTCCAGCCCTCCAGGATTTCCAAACATGATATCCTTTCTTCAGGGACTGGTCCTTCCTGATAATATGTCTGAAGCATGAGAGACGAAATCTGGCCATCCTGGCATCCAAGGAGCATCTGGCTATACTTTTTCCAACACAGATTGATTTGTTCCTTTAGTATTCCAGGATACTTTCAATATTCTCCTCCAGCACCATAGCTCTTTGCCAGTCATATTTTGAGTGCCTTTCAACCTGAGAGGTTCACCTTCTGGACTATATCTGACAATGCTCTGCTTCTATTCATAATATTTTCATTTTCTCACACTACATGAATCTTGTGGTTGTTAAGAACACTTGAGTCAGTTCAGACTCATACTGACACTATATATTGTTTCCAAGGAGCAGCTGGTGGGTTTGAACTGTCAACCTTATGGTTCACAGTCCATTGCTGATCCTACAACACCACAACAGGAGTCCATTTGAATCTTTGTACTGACTCATAGCGACCCTATGCACAGCAAAACAAAACACTGCCCAATCCTGGGCCAACCTCACTATTGTTGCCACACTTGAGTCCATCGATGCTGCCACTTTGCCAATCCATCTCACTGGGGGTCTTCCTCTTTTTCTCTGAACCTCCACCCTACCAAACATGATATCCTTCTCCAGTGACTGGTCCCTCCTGACAATATGTCCGAAGTATGAGAGACGAAGTATGGCCAATCTGGACTCCAAGAAGTACTCTGGCCGCACTTCTTCCAAGATAGATTTGTTTGTTCTTTTGGCAGCCCATGGCATTTTCAATATTCTCATCCAACACCATAACTCAAAAGCATCAATTCTTCTATGGTCTTCCTTATTCATTGTCCAGATTTTGCATGCATTTGAGGTTATTGAAAATACCATGGCTTGGGTCAGGTGCACCTTAGTCCTCAAGCTGGCATCTTTGCTCTTCAACACCTTAAAATGTCCTTATGCAGCAGATTTGCCTAATGCAATATGTCATTTGATTTCTTGACTGCTGATTCCATGAGCGTTGATAGTTGATCCAAGAAGAATCCTTGACAATATCAATCTTTTCTCTGTTGATAGAATGTTTTTTATTGATCCAGTGGTAAGGATTTTTGTTTTCTATATAATGAGATGCAATCCATACCGAAAGCTGTGCTCTTTGATCTTCATCAGTAAATATTTTAAGTCTTCTCTTTCAGCAAGCAAGGTTGTATCATCTGCATACCGCAGGTTGTTAATGAGTCTTCCTCCAATCCTGATGTCACATTTTTCTTCATAGAACCCAGCTTCTCTTATTATTTGCTCAGCATACAGGTTGAATAAGTATGGCGAAAGAATACAACCCTGTAGCACACCTTTCTTAATTTTAAACCATTCAGTGTTCTCATGTTCTGTTCAAACAACTGCCTCTTGGTCCATTTACAGATTCCTCATGAGCACAACTAAGTGTTCCCTAATACTCATACTTTGCAATGCTGTCCATAGCTTGTCATGATGCACACAATTGAAAGCCTTTGCATAGTCAATAAAACACAGGTAAACATCTTTCTGATATTCTCTGCTTTCAGCCAAGATCCATCGGATATCAGTAATGATATCCCTCATTTCATGGCCTCTTCTGAATCCAGCTTGAACCTCTGGATGTTCTCTGCCAATGTATGATTGTAGCCTTTTCTGTATTACTTTTAGTAAAACTTTACTCACATGAAATATCAAAAATATTGTCCAATGATTTCCACATTCTGTTGGGTCACCTCTCTTTGGAATGGGCACAAAGACAGATCTCTTCCAATCAGTCGGCCAGACAGTTGTCTTCCAAATTTCTTGGCATAGATGAATGAGTGCCTCCTGTGTCACCTCACTTTCTTGAAAGATTTCAATTTTTATTCCTTCAATTCCTGATGCCTTATTCTTTGCCAATTCCTTCAGTGCATCTTGGTCTTCTCCCTTCAGTATCATTGGCTCTTGATCATATGCTACCTGTTAAAATGGTTGAACATCAGCAATTTCCTTTTGGTACAGTGACTTTGTATATTCTTTCCATCTTCTTTTGATGGTTTCTGCATCATTAAATAATTTGCCCAGAGAATCCTTCAATAACGAAAGTCAAGGCTTGAATTTTTTCTTCTGTTCTCCCAGTTTGAGAAATGCTGAGCGTGTTCTCCCTTTCTGGTTTTCTTACTCCAGATCTTTGCACAGTTTGTTGTAATATTAGACTTTACCTTCTTGAGCTGACCTATGAAATTTTCTTTTCAGCTCTTGTACCTCCTCATTTCTTGCATTTGCTTTAGCATCTCTATGCTGGAGAGCAAATTTCAGTATCTTTTCTGACATCCATTTTGAACTTTTCCTTCTTGTCTTCTTAATGACTTTTTGAATCCTAGGTGTATGCAAATTATTTCTCAATAAAACTGAGGGAAATAGATAAATCTGTGTGCATACATTTATCACATTTGGTATGTTCCATAATTATCTGTTTTCAAGTCTTCCCAATTCAATTGCAAGTAACTTACAAGGCAAAGCCAGTATCTTTTGTGTGTGTGTGTGTGTGTGTGTGTGTGTGTGTGTGTGTGTGTGAGTTCAGAGAGTAGCCCAGAACCTTCCATATAATGGGGGGTGGGGGGAAGGGGATTGCATTGAATGTAATGAATCAAAGTATATGATAAATTGATGACCTGCTCTGTAAACCTTCAGTCAATTCACAATAAAAGATTTTAAAAAAATAGGTAATCAAAAAATGTTGGCCGAAAACAATATCGTCAAATGTGAACTTCTACCAAAAAAGAAACTATTTATGGTACATGAAAGGTCTTTATATGAAAATTTTAGTCAAAATGACAGTTTACATTTTTTTCATTTTGAACCCTTTATATTAATGAGAAATTGTTTATTACTTTCCAGAACAAATCTTTCCTAATCTGGACAAATTCCTATGCCTGAAAGAACTATCTGTGAATCTCAATGAGAAACTAAATGTTTTTTCAGTCATTCCTGAAGATTTCCAAAACTTCCATCACATGGAAAAACTGTTGGTCCAAATTTCAGCTGAACACGACCCTTCTAAACTAGGTAAGGATGACACTTTGATTGACAGCTACTTGGGTTATAATTTATTTAAGAGGTAATACTTCTGTGGGTTTGAATTTATAATCTATATCACCGGTACATTAGGGGATTCATACTCTTTCTCTTTAAAAAAGCAAGGAGATATTTAAATCTAGAACCTTTATTGCATGCTATGAATTGTTCCAGGTACTTTACAAATATCAATTCATTTAAACCCTATATTCATTTTATGAGGTAAGGTGGTATTATTATTCTCATTTTATAGCTGAGGAAGTTGAGCTATGAAAGGGTTAAGTCATTTGCACAAGGGCTCCCCTGAAATGAAATGGACAGACCTGGAATTCAAATGAAAGAATTCTGGCTCCAAAGCCTGTTCCTTTAATTCCCAGTAGTCAACCTCTCCAAAATAGTTTGTACAGTCCTTTAATTTTTTATTGGCTTATTTAAATTACTCTCATACTGCAATTTACAAATCTGCAAGCTAAGAGGAAAGAATCTGCTCATTGGACTGCCCTGTTTCTTACCAGTAGAACTCACAAATGATGGACAATATATATGCACAGTCATCTTTCTTAAATATATCATTTAGCAAAAATTACTTTGTTATTGTGAAGTGCCGTCATGTCAGTTCCAACCTATAGTGACCCTGTATAGGGTTTCCAAGGAGCAGATGATGAGCTTGAACCATCGACCTTGCAGTTCAAAGGACTTTGCAGTCTAGTACATTAACCCACAGCACCTGAGTTTAGTAAAGGCTTGTGCTTTTTATGTAGGAATTAAAGTAAAAACAAGCAATTAACACTGAAGAAATATAAATCTTTATGGAATTGACATTGAGTTGCATGCAAAAGAAATTTACTGTATCTGAATGAACCTGCAAGTGGTCATTTTCTTATATTTGCCAGCATTTTTTGCATCAAATTTAGGTTTTGTGTCAGAGTTGTCATTCCTTCCACATTTCGTTGTATAGTATTTCTACTGTGTCAATATGTTGTACAGATGAAGAAACATTAGCATGTTAAAACTGAAGATGACCTTCTTGAGTAATTATCCAGTGTCCTGAACTTATAAAAATGGATCCCCAAAAAGGTTGTTGAGTAAACTTGTTCAAATTCATGAAACTCAATAGTCAGTTGTGGAACACTAACCTAAACCCCAAGTAACCTGATTCCTGGGTCATTACATCATAGTGCTTTATTTTAATTCAGTATTGTTAAAACAAAATAATACAGTATGCAGTCAATTCTGATAGCTGCCTATAGTCTTCTCTTGATACTTTACAAGTCAAATTAACTCAGAATTCTTGATATTTTACAGTCAAATTAATTCAGAATTCTCCAAATCTGCATGTTTTCCATCTGAATTGTAAAGTCTTCTCGGATTTTGAGTCTCTTGTGACTGTACTTGCTACTTGTAAGAAACTCGAAGAAATTAAATTTTCAGGACCATTTTTTAAAGCCATTCCATTTGGTAAGAGGTATAATTGTAAAATTTTGGTTTAAGATGTTTCTGTGGAGAGAGCCATTTATTAAAGCACTTTGAAAAAGCTAAATATTTTTGATGAAATTTAAGTAAAAGAATGCAATTACTATACTTGACATCTGATCTTAAATGAATTTCTCTATAGTGAGGTATATTTGTTTCTAGAATTAATTTTAAACATCTCTAATTACCAAAATTAGTTTTGAGTAGAAATTTATTTTTATTTTATCTACTTCATCTGAATTATTTTAATTTCTGTCACTTCTGGCTATTGTCTTTAATTTAAAGACATTCATAAGTAACTAAATTTCAATTTTCTCTTTTATAGTCATCATTTTGCCAAATTTTACTCATCTGAAGGTTTTAAATCTTGAACAACAACAATTTCCAGATAAGGAAGTATCTGAAAAATTTGGTATGTTTACTGTACTTTTACTTATTTATGTTCCTCTAAACAAATTCTTATTCTCCTATGTTAAAATCAGTCAGAACAAATCAGAATGTATTCACTATTCTTGTTCTTTAAAAGGAAGTAATAACTTTTACCATTCAAATGTCTTCATTATTATTTTTCAATATTCCTGGCGCTTGGTCCCATACAAAGCACTATTCTCAGGACTTATTTCCTAGAATACATGCTTGGTTATTGCAGCACGAAACAAGTTCATTGTCAGGTATCCTTCCAAACATGTTCATATCCTGTTATTTCAAGGGTTTCAGGATATTGATACAGCTATCTTTTAAGGTTATGAAAACTCAGTGTGATTTAACAAAATGATAAATGCAGAAATTTTGTTTGTTTGCTGATTCCAAAAGTAATATAAGCTCATGGGAATAATTCTAACAGGAAAAGAATAAGAGGAAGCAGTGGGAATGTTACCAGATGCTGTTGCATTGATTCAGAGTCACGGTGACTTTATGAGTGCCAGAAGAGAATAGTGCTCCATTGAGTTTTCAATCACTAATTTGGGGGAAGCAGATGACCAGACCTTACTTTCTAGGTATCTCTGGAGAGATCTGAATTTCTAGCCTTCCACCAAACCTTTAACCATTTGTATCACCCAGAGACTTCAAGTGGGGTACAGAGCAGGGCTATTCAAAGTGCTCCTCAAACTTTATCATGCCTAAGAATCACCAGAAACTCTTTGGTTTCTTTCTCTTCCAATCCCTTAGAGGCAGTGATGAGGGAGTGGGAGGAAAGGGACTGTGGGAGGCTACTAAGGATGTAGTAGGGTGAGACTGCAAAGGCAAGATCAGGGGACAAGGAGATGACTGGCATATAAAAGCCAGTAAGTAACTATAAGGCACCCTCGTAGCATAATGAGTTAAGTTTTGGACTGCTAACCAAAAGTGGCACAAACCTACCAGTCACTCCTAAGGAGAACAATGAGGCAGTCTGCTTCTGTAAAGATTTACAACCTCAAAAACCCTATGGAATGGTTCTAATCTATCTTAGAGGGTTAACACTAGAAGTCAGAATCAGTGTGATGACAGTGGGTATAGATGTGTATGTATATATGTGTGTCTCTATGTATACACATAGACATATTTCTCAGTTGAGTCAACTGAAAGACTGCAAATAATATCATCCTAGTAGCGTAGTGGTTACGAATTGGGCTGCGAACCTTAAGGTCAGCAGTTAGAAACTACCAGCCGCTCCGCGGGAGAAAGATGAGGCTTTCTACTCCCGTAAGGATTTACACCCTTGGAAACCCTGTACAGGGTCGCTATGAGTCGGAACCGACTCGACGGCACTTAACAACAACAACAACAAGTAGCAATGGGAAGTCCTGATGTGGCACCATAAGATAAGCACTCAACCTGAAGGTCAGTTTGAACCTCAAGGTCGGCAGTTCAAACTCACCATCCGATTCTTGGAAACCCTGTATAGGGTTGCTCTGAATTGGAACCCACTCAACGGCACTTAACAACAACAAGTAGCAATGGAGTCCTGGTGTGGCACTGTGGGATAAGCACTGGACCGCAAGGTCAGTTTGAACTGCATGGTTGGTGGTTCAGACTCACCAGCCACTTCTCTGAAACCCTATACCGGGTCACTATGAGTCGGAACCGACTCGACGGCACTTAACAACAACAACAGTAGCAATGAACACACCGAGTGCCCAGATCTTGTTTCCTAAATACTTTCTTCCATAGAAGGAACAAGGTCTTTGAAGCAATAACTGACTGAAGAACTAGGATAGAGAAAATAGATGAACCTGGAGCATTGCTTGATGCTAGAAAGTATTCAAAATCTTTCAATGTGTGAGGTTACAGAAATAAAGAACTTTCAAGTGATCCACAGTGAGCTGTGATAAGAGGGGTCAGAGTGGAAAGGAAAGTTGTGAAAGTGGTGGGTTATGAGGTTAGAGTGCTAGTAAGCAGATGTTGAAATCACTGAGCACAACAGTACAAAATCAGAAGGAAAGGAAGACTGCTGAAGGCGTTGAGGAGCAAGGAGAAAATGGAGCTAGGATGGGCAGTTTGGACTTCAGTTCACGAAAGGTTGGTAGGGAAAATTGGAAGAATGGTTGTGTGGAGACAGTAATGAGGATCGAGGTGTAAATCGATCACTTTTTCTTGCCTTTGGAGAGAAAGAGGAACAGCCTGTATATTACAAGAGGCCACAAGTCTTCTGGACTATGCATGATTTGAAACTGCCAATTTCCACTATTTGGGGAGCACAGCAGTACAAGACAACTGGTTTTTTAAATTTTTGTTTTTGTCTCTTGTAATAGCCTACACTTTAGGTTCTCTTAATAACCTAGAAGAACTGATCCTTCCTACTGGGGATGGGATTTCTCAAGTGGCTAAACTGATCATCCAACAATGTCAGCAGCTTCCATGTCTCCAAGTTCTCTTATTCTTCCAGATCCTGAATGATGACAGTGTAATGGAAATTGGTGAGTTACCCTTAAATAAAGCCTTATTAAATAAAATGTATATTTAAAAATTTTCCAACTTTAAAATATTTTTCAACTCAGCTCTTTATTTTCACTGTCATGTTGTCTCCTCAAATCTGTGTTCTTGACATTAGTGTTTCAGACATGTGGCCACATCCCTTCCAAAGCATTCCTTTAAAAAAAAGGACTGATAATATACAGAGGGGATTGTAATTATTGCAATGAAATGAAATACGATAGGATGAACGTAAAGTTCTCCCATGTAAACTATCACTCAATTCACAATAAAAACTTTAAAAAAACAAAATTAATATACATGAAGTACAAAAACCATAAAGGTAATTTTTAAGTGGACATACTTTTTTTTCCCCAAATTTTTATTGTGAGTTGAGTGATAGTTTACATGGCAGAACATCAGTTTTAAACTAATTGTTTCATTGCAGTAATTACAATCTCCTCTGTGCATCATCATTCAACAGTATTGTATTTGCTTCTATTTACTGTTTATTTGTTTTGGGATGTACACAAAAACACTCAGAAATATATAATCATTTAAACAATCAAAGAGCACATTCTGAAAGCTAGCCTCCTGGCCACTAGCACACAGCCTTTCTCTTTCCATGGGTCTAGAGTCCTCAGCTTCTTTATGTCTCCATGTCATTATCTCTGCCTCCATCTCTGGTGTTGCTGCTTCTCCCTTGCTGGTCCTAGGGTCCTCTGTTCCTGGAATGTAAGATTAACTACTACCTCATTTTTGTTACAAAACTTCTACTTTTACAGTTATGGCAGTTGTAATTAGTCATGATAACAACTATTCACTATTGAGTCATAAGAATCTTATCCAAATCTCTTTTCACTAGACCCATCTAGACAAGATGAAAACTATTCAATGGGGAGTCTACCTTCTCCCACACACTCTGAAACTAAACTCCCTCCTGAAAACTTGTAGACTTCATCTCCCCTTCATTTTGGATAGCCAGTGTCTAAGTTGCTCGTCCCTATCGATCCTGTATACAGAGGGGATAGGATTGATACTGGATATGAAGACTCCTTCCTTCTCAGTTGATATTTTGAGCTACTACATCCATAAATATAGGTCAAGTTCATCATAATGTGGTAATTTACACTTGTTTAAGTGAACATCCATTTGTAGTAATCACTCAGATTACCAGTCACTCAGTGCAGAACATTACCAACAGCTCAGAAACTTCCCATATGTCTCCTCTCTGATACTACTTTCTCCTTCCCAAGGAGGCCATTATTTTGCTTCTTAGCACTGTAGATTAGTTTTGCTTGCTTTAAAACTTTATGGGAATCTTCCACAGGATGTACTCTCTTGTGTCTGGCTTTTTTTGGTTTAACATTATATTTGGGATACTCATAAATATTTATGTATGTCCACTGATTTCCATTACTAAATATTATTTCATTATGATGATATATATTCCAATTTATCTATCCATGAACTGTTAATGGAAGTTTGAGTTATTTCCAATATTTAGCTACCACTAATAATGCTGCTATGCACATTCTTGTACATAAATTTTAGTGCATTTATTGAGATATTTCTAAGGGTAGAATTTCTGAGGGATATGAGTCAGAACTGACTCAATGGCACTTAACAACAACAAGTGGTATAGATATTCAATTTTAGTAGATACTGACAAAGTTTTCCATGGTGGTGTTCTCAGGTTACACTTCTACTGATAGTGCCAGAGTGCCAGTTCCTTCACATTCTGATCACTTGTTAAGTACCATAGAATCAGTTCCAACTCATAGCAACCCTGTATAACAAGGATGGGGAACCTTTTTTCTGCCAAAATTTATAACATCATTGCAGGCCATACAAAATTATCAACTTAAAAATTAGCCTGCTATATTTGGTCAAACATTTAATTGATTCACCCCTAAAGTCATGCTAGAACTGAGGTTGCCTTGACAGGGCCAGACCAAATGATTCTGTGGGTCTTATACAACCTGTGGGTGGAACATTCCCCACTCCTGCTGTATAGGGTTTCACACCTGGTGGGTGTGATTCAAACTGACCTTTTAGCCCAGTGCTTATCCTATGGCCCCACACCAGGACTATGATTCTGACCGCTAACTGGCATTTAAATTTTAAATCTTTTAAATTTTAGCCATTTTGATAAATCTGTAGTGCTAATGTAGATTTTCTATTTCTTGTCCAAATTTTTGGTAAGCTGTGTTTTCATGGGAATTTTTTCATTTCCCTAAGGCAAATGGAATGTGTTAGCTCAATAAGATAAGTACTGGAGTGTAAATCACAAGGTCGGTGGTTCAAGCCTGCCAACCACTCTGTAGGAAAAAGATGAGACTTTCTGCTCTAATGAATACGTATAGCCTCAGAAACCATATACAGGGTCACTATGAGTTGGAATGGACTCAACAACACTAACAACAACAAAATTTCTTATAATATAGTTTATGATCTTTTTAAACATCTGATGTGATGGTGTGAGATAAGTAGTGGACCATGAACCACAAGTTCAGCAGTTCAAACCCACCAGACGCTCCATGGAAACCTTACAGAGGGTTGCTATGAGTCAGAATCGATTCAATGGCATTTAACACCAACAGTAACATCCCCTTCTTATTCCTGATATTAATAATTGATGCCTTCTCATTCTCACTTTCTCCTTGGTTAGTTTATAAATATTTTTCAAAGAACCAGCTTTTGGATTTATTTTCTGTATTGTCCAACTCATGCATTTCTACTCTTATCTCTATTATCTCCTCCTACATTCATAGGATGTGATTCGTTCTTTTTTCCTAACTTTTTCAGATGGCCAGTTAGATCACTGGCTTTGACTGTCTCTGCCTCTCCAGTGTTTTTATATGTCACATTTTCATTCTCAGATCAAAATATTTTCTAATTTCAATTGTCATTTCTTTGACATATTAGTTTTGGTTTTCTGGCACATTAGTTATTTAGAAATATATTGCTTAATTTCCAGATATTTGAGGATTATCTAATTTGTGTCTGTGTCTGTGTGTATATGTGTGGAGTACTATGTCACTGCTGACATGATATTTAGCATGTGTTCATGGGCTTATTGACCACATTTTATAGATCTTCATTTGTGATGTATCTGTTTCGATGTTTACCCCATTTAATTGTGCTATTTTGTGTTACACAGTTGTAAGGATTCCCTGTGGATTATAGACACAAGTCCTCTATCAGATATGTGTGGACTAGCTTCTCTTGATCTGTGGCTTGCTTTTTCATTTTATTAATGGCATCTTTTGAAGAACAGAAATTTTTCATTTTAATGAAATCCAATTTATCCTTTTTTTTCTTTCATAGTTCATTGTTTTTGTGTCCTATTTAAGAAATCTTTACCTACCCAAGCACCACATATGTTTCCCTATTATGTTTTATTCTAGAAGTTTTTTAGTTTCAGATATATATATTAACCTTTTATTATGAATTGTGTGAAGGTTTACAGAGCACAGAATCAGTTTTACATTCAGCAAATTATATACTTTGCTTTATTACAGCAGGATAAGCACTGGGCTGCTAACTTCAATGTCAGTGGTTCAAATCCACCAGCTAATCCTAGGAAATCCTATACTGGGGCACTATGAGTCAAAACTGACTTGATGGCACTTAATAACAACAACAGTCTCCTTCATGTTTAACTTCTCTTTACTGTAATTCTGTGTCTCGCACTACCTCCATCTTTCTTTTGCCAACCTCTCTCTTGTATATTGCCTGTCCTGTCACCATGTTAATGTGTTTATATCCTCTAGCCCATGAATAATTTTCCCTCACCACTCCCTCATGCCAACCTCTAACTCCCCACCATAACCTTTTTATTATCTCTTCATGTTCTGGAATTCCAATAAAAATCTCCTTTGCCTTTTCAGTGTATTGTCCATTTCTGAAATCTTAGTATTAATCTTCTGGATTTCTAATTGCAGGTTTTGTATTGTTTCAAATTTTGCATTTAATTTGTTGGTTTGTTCTTTAGTGTCTTCTTGAATTCTTCTAAAGTTTTTCTGTGATCTAGCTTTCTTCAATTTTTCTGTCAATCCTTTGAAGATACCTAAATATAATTCTTTTGAGTTCTTTTTCAGTTAGTTCTATTACCTTTTTTTTCCCTCAGAAACACATTCTGTCTCTGTATCTTGGTCATTTGAGTCATTCTCTTTTGTTTTTTTCATATGAGCCAAAATTGTCAGTTGTCTCCTGGACATTGTAGTGTTATTGTGTTTGTATTTAATTGATGATTGTATGTTGATATGTTCTTAGGTTTTCACCAACTGGAAGCATGTGCACCATCCTCTATTTACCATGCTTGCACCTTACTTTAAGTTAGGTTTGGCTGGTGTTGGTTGCTGTCTGTCATGGATCTGGTGGCATAAGAACTGTTATTGCCCAGTGGGTGGAACTGCTCATTTGTCTTTTTTTCCTCTACTTATGATTTTTCATTATATATTTTGAAGCTAAGTACATCCAAATTTACAACTGTTAGCGCTTCCTGGTAGACTGATCTCTATCTCTAGTCATTTGTCTTGCCTTAAAGTCAGTTTCTTTGTCATATATGAATATAGCCATACCAATGTTCCTTTGCTATTTACATCCTCTGTCATTTTCCTTCCTTTTATTTTCAATCTCTCTCTGTCCTTATATTTAAGGTATGTCTCTTATTAAGAGCATTTAGTTAGGTTTTTGACACATCCAGTCTGTTAATCTTTTAGTTCTAATAGAAGTATTAATCTGTTTATTTAATGAGATAGTTAAACTTATCTTCTTAATTTGCTATTTATTTTCTCTGTGTCCTTTTCCTCCCTTTTCTTGCCTTTATTTCCTTCTACACCTTCTCCTCACTTACTGACATGGTTGGGTTCCAAAGATCAGGTTATTTTGCCAAAGTCAACATTATGAAAAAACGGAGGGTGGCCATAATGTAGAATGATTAGATTTTTACATAACTGCCAATTATGTCATTACATAACTGCCAAACCACTGAGAATGATGACCCAGCCAAGTTGACACATAATCTGAACTTATCATAGCCTTGGTTCAAACCTCAGCATGAAGATTAATTAGTACATTTATCACCTGATGAGTAAGGTAAAGACTTTAGAACATTTTAACTGTATTTATCTTCCTTTTAGCTTTTTAAGTTATTCTTGGAACTTAGTTTTATTCATTATGAATGTAACCCAACAAGACCCATCATTGTTTTATACAATTGTATATAAATAGATCACATATTTACTGTTTCGCTTTCTCCTTAGTTTCTCCTGCATTTCCATTTATCTATCAGGAATCATATTCTTTCTTCCTGAGAAAACTTTGTGTGAGTCTGTGGAAATGAACTCTGTTAATTTTTATCTGAATATGTCCTTTTTTTTTTTTAACCTTCATTTTAGAAATGTATTTTCAGCAAATCTAGAATTCTATTTTGACATTCATTTTCTTTCACATTTCTAACTTCCATCATTTCTTTTGTTTTGTTGCCTGGCAGTCTTTGTTATTCCTTTGAAGGTGTCTTCTTTTATTTCCTCCCTGATAATGTTTACATTTTTTTCTTTGATAGTTTTAATATGATTAGTGTTTTCTTGTTTGCATTTTATGTTTTTTCTGAGTGTGTTTTTTGTTGTTGTATTGTATTGTATTTATCCTGTTTGGTGTTTGTAGAAATTGTTTAATCTTTGACTTTATGACTCTTTATCTATTTGGGGACATTCTTGGTTAATATGCATATAGCTTCAGTCCAATTCTCTCTCTTTAATTCTTTTTCACTTTTCATTCTATGAATTTAAATATAGCCTGGGTCTTGGTGTTGCACTGTAGGATAAGCCCTGGGCTGGTAAACACAAGGTCACCAATTCAAACCCACCAGCCACTGTCAGAAACCTCAGGAGTGCTGTCAGTTGGGACCGACTCAATAGCACACAACAACATTTAAATAAGACATGTAAATATATATATAATCTTAGAGTGGGCATTTCCTATGATCAGTAGTGGTGGTGGTGGTGGTGGAAGAGGATGCTGGTTGAAATAACCTAAAGTTCCTTTATTGAATAGAAGTCCTTTTGATTCCAATTTCATAAATATTTTGTTTTTATAGCCAAGGTGGCAATCAATGGAGGTTTCCAGAAACTTAAGAACCTAAATATTTCAATCAATCACAAGATTACAGAAGAGGGATATCGAAGTTTCTTTCAAGAGCTGAATAACCTGCCAAACTTGCAAGAATTAACGATCTCAAGGCATTTCACAGACTGCATCAAAGCTCAGGCCCCGACAGTCAAGTCCTTGAGTCAGTGTGTATCACGATTGCCAAGCCTCATCAAACTTAACATGTATAGTTGGCTCCTGGATGCAGAAGACGTCAAATTGCTTAATGCCATGAAAGAAAGACATCCTCAATCTAAATACTTAGCTATTAACTGGAAATGGGTACTGCCGTTCTCTCCAATCATTCAGAAATAGAAGATTCTGCTAAAAACTGCTAAATCAAGACATACTTTTGTCAATAATTTCAAAAATGTAATTTCCCCTCCAAATTGTTCATTAAGTATTGCATACATAAGATTAATAAAATGTGTAAACCATATAATAATAAATTCTACATACTCAAGTTTAATATACCAGTACCCTTGATGTCCTGAAGCATCCTCCCCAACAAAAAATTACCCTTTCAGTCAAGTTATGTAGCTGACCCTCCATTGTTGTTGTTATTAAATGCCATTGAGTCAGTTCCCACCCATAGCAGCCCTATATAGGGTTTCCGAGGCTGTAAATCTTTACAGTAGCAGAAAGCCTCATCTTTCTCCCATGGAACTGCTGGTAGTATCGAACTGCTAACCTTGAGGTTACCAGCCCAACTTGTAACCACTATGCTACCAGAGCTCCTTAACCCTCCATTGGTGGTGGTGGTGGTGTGCCATGGAGTTGGTTCTGACTCATAGTGACCCTGCACATGGTTTCCAAGGCTGTAAATCTTTATGGAAGTAGAAAGCTTCATCTTTCTCCCTCAGAACAGCTGGTAGTTTCGAACTGCTGACCTTGTGGTTCACAGCCAGATTCGTAATCACTACGCTACCAGAGCTCCTTTAACCCTCCATTGCTGTTGCTGTTGTTAAGTGCCGTCGAGTCGGTTCCGACCCATAGCGACCTTGTATAGGGTTTCCAAGTAGCAGCTGGTGAGTTTGAACCACCAACCTTGCAGTTCAAACGGTTTTGAAGTCTGGCGCATTAACCCACAGTGCCACACCAGGACTCCATTAGCCAGATTTAAATAATAGATTTTCAAGTTTACTATTGTAAAAATAGTCAAATAAAAAGACATCAAGGAGGGCTTGAGAAGAAGGGCACAGATCTATCTCACAACAACAATATGGAAGAAATGCTCAAGTTATATATGAGATGACTCACTTAAGGCGTGAATTTGTTTGTAGCTGAAGTAGGAGTTGACCTTACCGCAGGGTGTGGTGGAATCTTCTGTGGACCAAGAGATAGTCCTCAGTCCTTTCAAGACTAGTCTTGCATATTTAATCAGTTTTGGTATACTAGAGTTTACTTACACCTTCCCCTTACTCAATGCCAGGGTGAAAAAGAAATAGCAGGGAGAACTGCCTTTTTCCAGAGGCTTTTGATTAAACATTTATTATACGGTAAAACATGTGAAAGCTGTTAGAAGGAAAACGCAAGTATTTTCCACTAAACGGAGAGAAAGAAAAGTAGTAAGACTTCACCTAGTCAAATGCAAAGCAGTCCCGTCAAGTACAGACTCACACAGGTTTCAGTGTATAAGCATAAAATACAGAATAGAATTTAGCATTACAGAAAATGAGCAACTTTTCAGGAAACCGAGTATCAGTGCTTTTGAACATAATCATGTTTGAGAGTATGGTATCATAGCCTTGGAATTTTCTTATGAATCCACTCTACTTGTGGAAAACATACTTTATGTCTTTAGTGACTTCATACACCTCAAGGTAGTACATTTGGCAGTCCTGGTGTGGTGTTGCAGGTTATGTACTGGATTACAAAGGCGGCTTGAACTGTAAGGTCTCTATGAGTCAGAACCAACTTGACAGCACTTAACATCATCAATCCAAATCTTGATGAAGTGGAGGGTCAGAGAAAAAGAGGTAGACTCCCAAATGAGATGGACTGGCACAGTGGCAGCAGCAGTGGACTCAAACATAAAAACAATTGTGAGGTTGGCACAGTACCAAGCAGTGTTTCTTTCTGTTGGGCATAAGGTCGCTATGAGTCGGAACAAACTCAATGGCACCTCACAACAATCCAAATCTAGGAGTCTTGGTATGATGCTCTAGGATAAACACTGGACAGCTGAACTGCAAGACTGACAGTTCAAACCCACCAGCAGCTCCTCGAAAACCCAACCAGGGTCACTGTGAGTCAGAATTGAGTAGATGGTATTTAACAACAACAATATCCAAATCTATGTCTATGTCCAGAATGACACTTCGACTTGTTAAATAGCATAGCTTTCTGAATGATCAGAAGACAATTCTAAATTAATGATGCTCCTGTAAGTTGCAAAACAATGATTTTTTTTTTTATCGTAACTCTTTTTTTACCAAGGAAAAAGCCAGTTTTACTCCCCTATCCCCTAAAAAAATGAAATCTAAAGAATGTGTATAGTATGAGTCCACTTTTAAAAGTAAATACTCTCATGTTTGTAGATGCATTAAGATTTTCTAGGACATGCAAGAAAATTTTAATAGTGGTTACTTGAAGATTTTTTTTTACTTTTCACTTTCTCCCCCTTTCTACTGCTTTGTATTTTATAAGTGCCTACTCTTTTTATATTAAAAAATTTAAAACCACTAGTTACATTAAGAAGTCATGGTATGGTGCTGCAGGTTAATGTGTTAGACTGCAAGTTTGGTTTAACTTCAAGGTCAGTGGGAATAGACAGGATAGTTCGGGTACTGGGGGATCATACACTAGAAGGGGAAGGGGAAAGGAAGAACAAGGTGGATGGGAGAACAATTAGGCAGGTTTACATGGGCTAAATAGGACAAAGGTAAATAATGATGTAAGCACAACCTGGGAACAACAGGGCTCTGGGATACAAGCATTGAGGCATGGTTTGAATAGGTAAAAGTGGGGAAATAATGTGAAGATGCTTGACTGTCTTTTGAATCTTGGTTTACCTCATAGATCTCATCGTTAGTGCTCTCCCCACTTGACTTCCATACTGATGTACATCTGTTCAGTCCAGCTGAGCACGTGATCTTACCTCTTTTTGTAATGCTTGCTATGGTCTTGACCCTAAATGTGAAAACAAACAGACTTCCAAGTACACTGGTAAATACCCTTAATGCCACCTCCCACACTATCACTGCCCTAAGTGTAAGGGCTTCTTTAGAGCAGATAATGGAAGTTATTTGTCTTAGTTACCTAATCTAAAGAGGCTACCCATGTTAACAGTGAGGGTCTGGTTTGTATTGTCATAGGAATTTTCATATGTTGCTATATTCAATGCTCACCTCACTGAATCACCCTTTGTAAAAACATGTTGTTTTTCACAGCCTAAGCTTAGTTCTTTTGATCCAAGAAACAATGCTCAGGATCAAAGTATCTATTTTCATTTGAAGCAAATTTCATAAACATAAAATTTAAAAATAAGAATGGGAAGAGAACAAACAAGATGGCGGATTGGGTGGAAGTGCAGTAAGGAGCTCGATCAGCAACAACACAGAATACAGGACCAAGCAGGCTCAGGGGATGGTCCCAGAACTCTGAACCACATATAAAGGAATATTTAGAAGGTTGAAAGGCTTAAAGCTAGGGGAATTTGTAGCAGAAACAAGAAATCCATTGCTTTCTAATTCAAGATGCTCAGCTGCTCCAGGAGACGCCATCTTGGGTGAGAACAAGTGGGGAAAGGATCAGAGTAGCCACAGATGTCTGACAGAACAATGGAGATAAAGGTGTGGACATCCTTTTATACAAAGACAAGCAAATCAGATTAAGCTTGGATTTCTCAACAGAAACCATGCAGTTAAGAAGGCAATGGGGAGACATATATAAAACCCTGAAAGAAAAAAACTGCCACCCAAGAATCCTCTACCCAGCAAAGCTGTCAATCAAATATGATGGTGTTATCAAACATTCCAGGATAAACAGAAGCTAAGGGATTTTGCCAAAGCCAACCCTGCTATGAAAAACATCCTAAAGGGAGTTCTGTGGACTGAGAACCAACAAGAACAGACAACAACTACAGAATGACATATGTGGCAGCATCACTCTGAGCTCAATTGACAAATAATGAGTCAAGAACAGAGTAAAATTATAAGAACAGAGGATCTGGGAGGTCAGTCTATGATCAAAACAATCACAAAGCGAAAGAAGGTAAACACAGAGGAACAGACACCCAGGTGGTGGAAAGGTCAGGTAGATTACTGGATAAATAGACTGTCTTAAATGGAGGGTATAACTAATGGAATATAAGGTAACCACAACAGGGTTAGGGTGGGAGGTTTAGGTTGGATGTGAGGTTGGGGAGGCCAATACAAGAAGGGGGAAAGAAGCGGGAGAATAAGATAGATAGGGGAACGCTGAGACAGGTTTGCATGGCCTAGTGAGATAGAGGTAAATAGTGATGCATTCTCAACCTTGGAACAACAGGGCTCTGGGATACAGGATCTAGGAATAGCTTGAAGAGGGTAAATTATACTAAAATGTTTGACTGCCTTATGAATGTTAGTTTCCCTTGCCTACTATTGTAAAATAGACACTTGATTGGGATAGAAAGGAATGTTGGGAAACATGATTAGAGAAAACTTGTAAGCCCATCTTCAGCCTATAACTGATTGGAATACCTAAAAGGGGTTCTAGAACTTTCCCAGTGAAATAGGCCTTGTGCAAAGCCTCTACAGAGTATAGGACCTTAGGTGGAATCCTGAGTCTCATCCAGAACCTTATGAGGTGGGACATTTCCACTAGAAAGGACAAGCTGACTGGAACAGCTATAGTGACAGAAGATACATCTTCAAAGAAAGATCATCAGGAAAAACCCAAAACAAAAATGTCAGCACGACTGGCTACTACAAGAATTAGCAAGCTGTTGGCCAGGAAGACATAAAGGCTAGCAATCAAGTGCCTTCAGGACAAACTCCCCTCTAAGGCTAAAACTCAAAGGGAATACTCACAAGCATGTAAGCTTGCTGGCAGCCTCATTGGTCTACTGGTGAGTGGAGGAGGCAGAAAGGCATCAATGAAGAAATGGGCTGAGTTCAACCCCAGTCCATTGAATCCCATTGACCTAGAGAGGAGAGAGAGAAGAGAAAGGGCTGGATGGTCCAAAGTGTGGTGAGACCTGAGGACACTTGAGCCCATGGACAAGGATTTAGCCACAGAGGGCTAGAGGTGAGAGTGAAGCATCCAGCTGATATGAAGTGAGGGGAGATGCACAAGAACACCCAAACTTGCATACAGTACTCTTTTGACCT